ACTCCCTGGACAAACCTCAGCTCTGTCCCACACCCGGTCTTGACTTGGCTGGGCAGCGCCTGCCCCAACCCCTGCCCCAGCCCCACTCTCTCCCTTACCATGGGGTCCTTGATCTGCACCCCCATGCCCCTTCCCTCCCCCCTCCCTTTCCACCACAACAGACTTACTGGCTGGACACAGCTCTCCAAGCTGCTGGGCTGCGCTCCTCGCTGCCTATTTGCTGCTCTGCAACTGTGCACATACACAGGGCATTTATTGGCCACATTATCAGCCACATCAGGCAGAAAAAGCCATTTCCAATACAATTTTCTTTATATCAGTGCCGATCTGATATTGGACCGGTGTATCAGTGCACCTTTACTAGAATATGTGCTGCTTTAAAAAAAAAAATACGTGAGGTCACCTTTTGTGTGGTGATTGGGTACCTTAGTTCTTTTCTAAATAAGAAAAACAAATCCTGAAATGTAAATAAAGGTTCAACTGTTTTAAGTTGATCTTTGGATTTTGCCTTTCTTTGTTAATTTGTAAAATACCTGTGAAAGTGTTGTTCATGACAGTTACTTAATCTGTCTAATCATTAAGCTCAAATGTCAATGTTCTTGCTTTTATTGCTATGCCAGATCTTGGAATAGTTTTTTAAGTCACTGATGTCTGAAACAGAAGCATTGGCTCTTAAGTCTGCCAACAGCATGACTAAGGCTGAATAGCTTAATCAATTTAGTCTAACAGAATTGGAAAGTGGCAAGCCTTCTTCAAAATCTTCTGGCTAAAACATAAAATGGATCTTTCCAGTACCCACCACAACAGGCTATAACATAACATAATGTAACTGTTTGTCAAATTTGAGAAGAGCTTGTAACAAGACTTTAGGTCAGTGATTCTCAACCAGAGTGCCATGTGCCTTTAGATCCTTTCAAAGGTGCTGAGGCGTGCCAGTGGGGTGCAAACAATATTTGCACTGTTAGGTGTCCCAACACAATTCATAAAATAAATCCAGAGAATTCAAATAGGAATTCACAGTGTTAAAACATTTTGACCTGTTGTGGTTTTTCTGAGATCTCTGCAGCAAAAATACTGCTCTATGATTTTTGGTAGTAAAACAAAGTGAAAAGTCAGAGCTGACATTTTCTGAAGGATGATTTGAGTCTAGGAAGGTTCACAATCACTACTTTTAGGTAGAGGTATGGTATAGTACAGGCAACTAGACTTTTCTGTGTGGTCAATTAACTGTGTCTATTATGAGTACAAAGTTAATACATGTACTTTCTTTCTTAGCTAGACCACTAAGCATGTCTGCACATTACTGCAGCTGAGACATGGTTTAGCTGGGAGAATGGTTTTCTGCTTATCACAAGAGTCTTGGATTAACCGAGACTGAACCCAGAGCAGTATGTGCTGCAATGTGGCTTTTTGCCATCTCTGAACATACACGTAAATCCAATGTGCCTATAAGTATAGCTGAGGCATTGTCCAGTAATGGCACTTTAATCAGCTGTTACACCAGATCCTCCAGTATGAATAAGCTGTGCTTGTTTCAGGATTCCAGGGGGTGATGCAAATATGACTTTTAAGTCACTGCTTCTCTAAGTCTCTGACCAGATTACTCTCTGGCACAATTTAAGGTTAGAGACTGACAGAGAGGCAAAAGGGCTGGGGATATCACTCAGATGCGTCCTCAGCTGTGGAAGTGTATATGAGGTGTGCAGTAGCCACTGTAGAGCTTCCTGCACTGCAGGGAATTCTCTATTGCCTGAAAAAGATCTGCTTTATCCAAGCACACCTCTACAAATTGCATCAAAGCCAGAAAGCACTATGCCTTCTAAAATTACAGCCTGTTTGTTAAATACTGTTGTGGCAGTAAGTTTATGGCCTGGCACCCTCTGGTGGACATTTTGAGAAGTTATTTTGAAGAATGGCTGCAATGTTGTCCAAGTGTTCTCCAAACTATATTTTGAGAACCTTAGAGTGATATATTGTCACTCTATGCTAATGAACACACACTCAATAAAAAGTTAGTGCCCTTGTCTAGGATCAAAAGGCACATGTGAATCCCTCCTCTTAGCTCTTCCAGACTTCCTGTAGCTTTACAACTACTTCTACATCTAGGCAAGTTTCTTCTGATTGAATCTCTTTAACAAACTCCCACTTTTGCTGCATATGCACAAGTGTATCTGCACACCTCAAATAGAGTGGTGATATTTTCCTACATTTATCATGCAACTTTGCCCACATCATCTGCACTCTGTATTTTATCTCCCAATGACAGCTACCAATATAAGTCTTCTCCCCCCATTTAAAAATAAATTGAAAAAAACCTACCCAAAGAATGTTTCTTTCTACCCATCTCATATTCACTTTCCCATTCAAATAATATTTGTCTGTGCCAGAATAAGAGTTGGATTTAATACCTTGCAACCTCTCTATTCTAGTGGATGGGGAAATTCTTGTTTTTTTCCTCTAGCTAAGATATTTAGATAAAATAAGCATGATTTTAACATATGCAAGGTTATTTTAAGTTTTGTTCAGGTTTCTAAAATGTATTTGCTATATTCTTTTCTCTCCCTCAAAACCTTATACAGTTGGCTTTATTAAGCAAGGCACCTTGATTATTCATATTGAGAGATTTAAAAAATAGAAGTAGGGTTTTATATAAACCCCTGAAAATTTTCCCCCAAATAGCTTTTTGTAAATAGCATAATCAAACTTTGTGATGGTATGATGTGATATGAAAAATTTTAATTGGCATTTTTTTGTGATCACATGCATATTTAACTTGTGGCTACTTGCAGGGCATGCTAACAGTTGCAACGTACCCAAGCGCTGCACCAGCACTTACCTGAGATAGAAACTTTTATCATTTGTTTCTTCTTTACTAGAACTGCAGCTTTAATTTAAAAATAAAATAATTCTTTATTAGTTATAGCTGTGAAGACAACTTTAGAAATATAAACCCACCAGAACTAAATCATGGTTGAGTTTGAAGAGAGCCCTGATAAAGGTGAACAGTCCTACTCCCCTCTGGGAGGAGTTAACTCAGAGGCCAAGCGATGGCAGTTTTAAAATGGTAATATTGTTAGCTATTTTATTCCTCACATAATAAAGAGAAGACACAGAACAGCACAGTATACCATGAGTGGGGACTTGTTTTCATGGCACTGGGAAGATGCCACCTATATTCTTCCAAGCCCAAAGAGATCAGCAAGGCAAACGGGATATCTCAGTTCCTTCCATGACCCAGATCCCATTTGTTCTTTTTTGTTTTATTAACGTATTTCGTGTTCAGTCAACTCATATCGACTGAGCGGAGCTCAGTTGTTCCAAAAAACCATACCGATTGCGCAGGGTGAAATCAATCTGTTCAAACAGCAGGTAGGGCGCCACAACCAGCCAGCATCCTCCTCTCGGCTCTCACCCTGGGACTCAGCGCTCCCGAGTGCAGGGGCAGGCGGCCTGCGCGCGTCGGGGGGCCCCGGGGCATTCACGACGAAGGAGAGGGGGCAGGACCCACGTCCACCCCCATCCCCGGGGCCAGCGGGGCAGGGAGGCACGGCCTGTGCTCGCCGCGCGGCCGGGCCGGGCTGGGCTGGGCCTATCCCCGCTGGGAGGTGCCGCTGCCAGAGGAAGCGGAACTGCTCGGCAAGGGGCGGGATCGGGCGGGATCCCCGGCGCGGGCAGCGCTGCACGTCCTCGCCGGCGCGGGCCTGGCGGCCTGTGGGCAGGTACCGGAGCCGGGCGCGGGCGGGGCAGGGCTGCCTGGTGGGAGCTGGGCCTTCAGGCCTTGCCCCGGTGTCGGCCTGAAGTGCTGACCCCGCTCCCTCGACGGACACCCGCGGCAGACCCCTGTCTGATCGGAAGGGAAGCAAGGGTTGAGGGTAAGACCTTTTATTGGGCCAGCGGTGTAGCTGGACTCCAGTGAGAGCAGCTCACAAATGTAAGGCGCTCTCTACGCAGGGGTGACGGGACACGCAAGCCCATGGGATGGAAATGCAACAGGACTCCCAGGGGTAGAGTGAGACAGACGCTTCCCCTTCTCCCTCCTCACTACGGCCCAGAAATGATGAGCCTAACAGAGAATAGCACCAGCATGTACTCCTGGGAACGGGGAGCGTTTCTTTGCCTGATGCAGAGTGTCTGTCCTCTTGGGATACTGACTTTGCATAGCCCCCCCCCCCATCATTTTTAGCAGCAGTCTTAAACGATGGCTTCTTGGGTTGCCTTGATTATTATTTTATAAACAGTGCAAGTAAAACCTGAGAAAGGATCTCCTGTTTCTCGGTGCGTTCTCCTCCTCGCATCTGCATCTTCCTGCAGCACAGAGTGGTGGTTTGGGCGCCAGGGTTTGTTAAAGCCGCACAGCCTAGCACCGCAGTTTGAGTTGTGGAAGGCGCTCTGAAATATGTGACCCCAATGTTGTGTTCTGGGGGCTGAAAAGTGTACGGGATTCCTGAGTTGTGTCGCCTTCACCAAGATGCTGAAGCAACACGGTATCTCGCAGCATGCAAAACTACGCGTGTGCTTAACGTTGGCATTGGAGCCCAAGAGTTTCTTCAGACTGAAGAACAATGAATGTTTTAGAGTAACCAGAGTTGCTAACTGTTCTCATTCTTCTTATACAATATGAGAGACAGATAGAGAAGAAATAAAAAGTAAAACCACCAGTTTCAAGACACAAAACCAAGGCATAAAAGTTAAACTGGGTTATTTTGACTCAATTCCTTGGGGTTTTTCCACACTCGGCCTCGCATCCTGGTTACAAATTTATGATGTACCATCAGGATGGATGCCATTTGGTTAGCAGTGCAAAGTGCCTTGAGCTGACACTGAATGACTTCTCCAGGCACTGGAGAGCAGCTAGGCAATATGAAACAGGGACATTTGGGATCTTATTTGGGTCCAAGAGGATGAGGGCTGAATAGGATACTAGGGAGTGGGTTGTGGGTGCTGAGCACAGAATTGAGGAAAGGACCAAAGGCAGTTTTCTAAAATGAGCAGAATAACCCAGGGTTGCCAGGTGAAAAGAAAAGCTCCTCTCCCTGTTAAGAAACTCCCCCAGAGTCTTCTGGTCCCACCTAACTTAGATGTTATTTTCCTCGGCACACATCCCTACCTTGCTACACATCCACATCTCCTCAGTTCTATTAAGGAAACTTTGCTTCTTGCCCTCATGCCAGTCCTCTCTGTCCCTGACTGGAGAAGAGTGGTTACGGTAAGAGTAGTCACTTGTCTTTTTCTCTTCCAAGTAGCTCCTTAGCTTTTCCACTCTTTATGGGCAGCAAGCACCTGGTAAGCAGGCACCAAGTATCTATCTGGTAATCAGAGGTTCAGGTTTGACAGTAATCAGAGGTGCAGGTTCTCGCTATCTGGAAGTCATGGTGCACGTGTCGGATCCTCTCAACTGTTCCTGAACGCTTTCTGAGTTACCAGCCCCTACCTCTTGGTTAGCTGGGAGCCTATAACTGGTTAGACTGGATAGTGCAAAAAAGAAAAAAAATCCAAAAGAGAATAATGTTGTATGTATTTCTAGAGAACATTCCAATTTTTAAAAGCATGACTAGGGCTGAAAAAGTGAATAGTGTTCTTGGGCTGGAAGAAGCTCCATTTTGACGAGCTAAATTTGTTCTAGTTAATTTTATGCACAGTACAGCATATGAGCACCATAGCAGAGCAAATTCATTGACAAACTGTTTAAAGTGTCATCGCCTGAAATTGAACTTTCCTACGTAGTACTTGGCATAGGTGCCAACTCTCTGGGTGCTCCAGGGCTCAAGTACCCACCCAAAAAAACCAGCATGTGCTCAGCACCCATGAGCCATGGCGGCAGGCTGCTTGCAGACATTAACCCCTCTCCTCAACTCCCCCCACACACCCTTTACCAGAAACAGCAGTGCATTATTTCAACCTCAGCTATTATATAAAAGTGCCAAAAAGAGCCCCGCTAAACTGCCTGGTCTTCACAGATGCTGGTGTCAGAGCTGGATTGAAGTAATGTGTTGCCTCTTCTGAGCATGCACATTACTTCAATCCAGCTCTGACACCAGCATCTGTGGTGCGCTTGACATGGGAACACACCAAGTTTAAAGTAAAGCGCCATTTTGGGTTGTTTTTGTTTTTTTTATTTCTGCAAGCATTCACTGGCAAAAGCAAAAGTCAGTGCCTATGGTACTAGGGAGTCCTTCTGTGTCCTGTGAAATGTATTCATCTGTTTTGTACAATAGCAAACCTGGAAGGGAGATTTTTATGGAAGTGTGCACATAGTAGCAGGTCATGTATTTGCTTTCCAGAGAGAATGCACAGGAGGTCTCTGTTGCTTCCCATTGGAACAGACTCATTTGGAAGGCACTCATTTGTGTGCCAGGAGAGAAAGATGTGTTTTTATAGGAGATAAAGTGCATGTTTTTATAAGTATTTTTATTGGGGCATTTTCAGCTTTGTGCCCATTAATCTTGATAATAGTTCCCTTTAAATCCGAACAAATAAACAGAAATGTGGTGGCAACAGAGGCAATCCAGTAAGTCTAGTTGCATCATTATTACATGCTGAGACCCTAGTTTTCCCTGTTGATATTCTTCAGCAAAGTGTTGATAATTTATCCACTCTGCTCTATATGAAACTTTTACAATTCACTGTTTTTCAATGATGTTAAAAAATATGTCCCAGTTTTTATTTCCAGATGATTTCCAATTTCCAGCAATTTCCAGATTGATTGCATTCAAATGTTGGCAGGTCAGTAGTGGTCCAGGTTTGAAGCTTTGAGCAGTATTTTGCATGTTGCCTCATGCTGTGCTCTGACTTCAGCTTGCTTGTCCATTATAGTATTAATCAAAAGGGGGCAAGAGGGCGCAAAAGCCCCCATGGCTCACCAGAAGCATACAGAAACGTCTCCTGGCTAAAAGGGAGGTGTACACCCAATGGAAGGGAGGGGCCATCACCAGGGAGGACTGTACCTCGGTTGGTCGGGGCTGCAGGGGGGGGCGGTCAGAAAGGCCAAGGCAGAGATGGAACTGGGACTAGCTACCCGGATCAAGGACAACAAGAAGTCCTTTTTTAAATACATAGGGGGTAAAAAGAAGGTACTGGATAACGTGGGGCTCTGCAGGACACACTAGGTAATCTGGCCGTTGCACCAGACAGCAAAGCTAACCTATTTAACGATTTCTTTGCCTCCATTTTCCTGAGCAGGGACTGGGTCACACCCCCCACTGGGACCCCTGTAGGTCCCAGGGGAGGTGCACCTAGGCCTAGGGTCAGTGAGGATCTAGTCAGAGAACTTCTGGAGGGACTGGACATATTTAAATTAGCAGGTCCTGACAATCCCCACCCTAGAGTGCTGAGGGAATTAGCAGAGGTCATTGTGGGACCCCTGGCACGGCGTTATGAGCACTCGTGATGCTCTGGTGTGGTGCCAGAGGACTAGAAAAGGGCCAATGTGGTTCTCCTTTTCAAAAAAGGGAGGAAGGAGGACCGAGGAAACTATAGGCCAGTTTGTCTTACCTTCGTCCTGGGGAAGCTTTTTGAGAAAGTTATTCTGGCGCATGTCTGTGAGGGGCCAGCAGGGGAAATTATGCTTAGGGGCAACCAACGGGTTCATTCGAGGCAGGTCCTGTCAGACCAACCTGGTGGCCTTCTATGACCAGG